TAGGTTACAAGAAGAGTTCCTGAGCTAGACAAATGAAGTATTAGGAAGATATATTAGAAGACAAGCAGTCACAGCACACAACACGGGGTGCTAACAACACTTCTGCGACTCTTAAGTGCTTACAGTAGATAGGTGAACCACCACAAATGCATGACATTGTTCAACATTGGCTTTATTGTCATTGTGTTGTAGTTTCTACCCCCCCGTACCTGCGAATTGTCTGTCTGAAGTGCCTCTGGCTCCAAACTTGGTCACTAGTTTGCCATTAGATTGAAAGATGAACACACAGCAGGCTTTATTATCCACTGCAATGATATGACCGTTCCTGTCCACAGACACTCCTTTGGGTCCCATCAGACGGCCTGCACCGATCTTATTCTGCATGAGGCACAGACAAAAAGGGAGAGAGGACCTTATTAAATGGCTCTTAAAAATACTTGATTCGGATTAGTCGATCATGGCGCCGAGTAAGAAAATAGAATAATTAATATTTACTCAAAGTCATAATTCACGTCAGTATGTGGAGATATACCGTTCAAAATTTTAAGGTCGATGAGATTTAAATTAGTGCTGTCAAACGATTAATCATGATTAATCGCATCCAAAATACGGGGCTACACACTCAGATATTCTGTAAACAAAAACTTTTATTTTGGATGTGATTAAATGCTATTAATCGTTTGACAGCACTAATCACTAATTTACTTTATTTATTTCCACAACGTTCAAAAGTTTGGGGTTGGTAACTTTTTATTTCTTCTTCTTTCTTCTTTTTCTTATGTTCACCAAGGCTGCATTTATCAGGGTTACTAAAAAGGAAAATTAAAACAATAATAAACAACATTTTTGTTAATTGGGGAAAAAAACAGTTCACCAAAATAAATAAACAAATAAAATAAAATAAAAATAATTTCTCATTTTAGTTTAGTTTGACTTGATGTACTAAAATAGAATAACTAAAAATAACTTAACCTGAAAAATAAAAAAAAATAAAACTATATAGACATGTAAATAAACAAATTAATAAAAAAACTATAAATATATCTCAAAGATTCTAAAATAACACAGCCATTTATTTGATAGATACAGCAATATTGTCAAATATTATTACAACTAAAAATACTACTTTTTAAATATGTTTAAAAATGTAATTTTATTCTTTTGATGGCAAAATATATTTTTTTATATTACTGTAAAAAAAAAGTTAGTGTCACTTTTGATCAATTTAATGCATACTTTAATGCATACTTGCTAAACAGAAAAATTCATTTTCTCCAACCAACCAACCAACCAATAAATAAATAAATCTTTCTAACAACAAACTTTTGAATGATAATGTTTGTTTCACATAGTACGGGAGAAGCGATGTGCAAAAATTCAATAGCTAGTTAAGATATTTGAAAACCCCTCAGAAATGAATGAGCAACATTAACAATGATGCTCTCCTTAGCAAAATATATGGGCTGCACAGATCTTTCTTAAATTCCCTCTGTCTCCGCTTTGATGTCATTACCTTGTAAACCGTGCCAAAGGCCCCGGCTCCTAGGATCTTCACCCGTTTCAGCTCAGTTTCTTTCAGAATGCGCAGCTGTGCTTGGTTCGGGGCCGCACCGCTGGGCGTCAGAGGCTCCACCAACTGAGACACACAAAGCAAAGGAAGGGAGACGCCGTCAGAGATGCTACAATCAATCTGGACAATCAATGAACGTTCGGCCCTAACTCAAACAAACTGAAGAACACAGACCATAGTGTATGAATTCCCTGTAATTTATTTAGTCTCTCTGTGCCATTATGTGCTGAATATCAGAGTTTGGGAGTTCAATCAATGCATAAAACCCCCTGGTGATAAAAAAACTATTGAAATGCAAGAGAGAGGGACAGAGATAAGAGGAAAAAGCAAATAGAGAAGATACAGGAAAGAAAGACAGAAAGAGAGAAGGTTAACCTGATAACAATATGAATGAAGAGAGTGTGTAGGAGAGAGATTGGGAAGCGTAAGAGAGAATGAGAGATAGAGAGAGAGCGTAAATCAGCCGTTCTATCGACACTTTGTGGCGTCCCCCGGCTCATCACAGCCGTCTGATTAAAAAACAATAGCGCTTCTTCATTTAAATGGAATTGTAAATCAGGAGCCTGGACACAGAAGGCAGAGGAGAGCCAGGGGAGGGACGAGCTGTGATCCGGGGAGCTGTCCGCTGCAGGCGGTGCTGAAACACAGATCAGGAGCTGTCCATGGTGCTGAAACCTTGGGGACATTGTAGTGCTCCAACATAATATGAATTTATAGTTCTGGGAACACTCTATTTTTTTTGGCAGTTTTTTTTTTATGAAGTGTGTTCACCAAGGCTGCATTTATTTTGATCACAAACACAGTAAATTACAGTAAATAACAGCAATATTGTGAAATATTATTACAACTTAAAATAACAGTTTTCTTTTTAAATATATTTCAAAATGTAATTTATTCCTGTGATGCAATGCTGAATTTTCAGCATCATTACTCCAGTCTTCAGTGTCAC